TTCATGTACAGTTTTACAAGTTTTCCTCTAAATGTCACACACAAGTACTTAATCTTAATTTACATGGTTTTTGTTATCCTCAGCCATCCCCTCTTGAGAATAGTTAATGATAAATTACAGAATTAATTGCTCATAAAACAAAATGTTCTTAAGAGTACAATGACTAGATGTTAGAAACTTAATTCATTTTATCAGCGCTGGAATGAAATGTCCCCTTGGTAAGTACTAATCCACACCAGGTTGGCAAAAATTCACCTAAGACATTCTATTCTTTTTTGGAAAAGACCAATATGAAAAAAACAAAATGATAAATGGCAAAGAGGTGGAATGACCTGCCCCTGTTGCAGTACCCCTACACCTAACCTGCAAATGTAGTTTGGAGCGCGTCTGTCCAGTTTTACCCAAGTCATGCTGTGACCTTTCCTCTTAAACTCCCTTCAGTTTGCAGGTTTAGTCTGTACTGCTGCCAAGATTGCCTTGAAAATGCTTCTTTCTCTATTAAATACTGAATCTTCTTAAATGGCGAGAATAAAAGCCTTCCTCAGGCGCAATTGTGATTTAATCCCAAATAATATTATTCAAACTATTTAGCTATTGTCGAGTTTATTTGTAAAAAGAAAGCTGAAGAAATGTATTTTCTTTATAGCACAGTCACAGCCCAGATTAGTTGCAGTCTGAATGTCTTTCTTATTTTGGCCACAAATGGACTATGCTCTGATAAGATAACTGTTGCATGATTTTAACAATTGTTTTTCCTTTCCATTATACCAAATATTTCCTTCCTTTTTTGTGTGATTTAAGACATATAGTTAGAGCCAAAGGCAACTAAAACCTCCCAGAAGATGAAACCTAAGGATTCTCCAAGGTATTGACATTAGTCTGGATTACAGACGATGTGTTGAAATCTTTTCTCGTAAGAATTGCTGAATCCAATTATTTGGCGATTTTAATATTATTGACTGGACAACATCCCACAACTGCTTTGTGACTACCTCTCTTGATTGTTCAGACATGTAACAAAGGTGGGTTAACTTTGACCTCCCCCCAGTCAGTATCGGTCATTGCATAACATGCACAGATGTGTGGAGAACACGTATAATCCCTGCCTTGAAAATGTTCTCCTGAAGTGGCTTTGGGTCTGAAAGCTGTTAGGCCTGGGTCATAGTTATTTATAATTCCCATTTATATGTTTCGAGCATTTGGCCAGTAAAGATGTGTATATAATACTGCTGAAAACCTAATGCAATAAGCTTTAAGAAAACACACTAAGCATGACTAAAGGTAATTTGTTGAAAGTTAAATTGGGCTGTGAGATGCAAAAAGAGCTTTGAATTACAATAGAAAAAAATAGAAATATCATTTTTGTCCCACAAAAATTGCAATTGCAGTGCTAGTTGTGTTAACTTCTAATGTAAGATACTAAAGACATATTAAAAACATCTGCCATATTAACACATGGTTTTGATGTTGCCTGTGTTCCTGAAATAGATCACAGCAGGAATGTTTTATTGGTGCTGCTCTTTTATTACACTCATTGAACAAGAGTTTGAATCATCTAATGTCAGAATTAGATGACAAAACTCCATAGGAAAAAAATCAAACAGCTGGCAAAATTCTGACAGATGCATTTTTCTTCAGTTTTAGTTTTTCCTCCACAAAAAAAAAAAAAAAATTAAGCATGAAAAATGTAAACCTGAAAAAACATAGTTCTCAAACACATTATATGGTTGCAGTGACCTTAAAAGAGATCGTTGTTCGCTTTAAGTTCAATCTTTTTCGCATCGGAGCAAATCTACCCGTTATCAGCATCCCCAAACAAAGCAAGAACTGCCCATATCCTACATTGCTCCTCACATTTTAGACTGCCCCCAATTGGTTGTAACATGGGATTGCATTTTGTTTGCAGCTGTGACCATTGAGCACACACACAGATATTTCGCGGGGCTGTTCGTTTTGTCCAGTGTTCCTGCAGAGAAGGGGTGGCCAATGTAAAGTCATTGTCACAAAAGTGCAGTAAACCTCCCAATGAGCCCTATATTCCCAGCAGGCATTCTCATCATTGACCCATTAGGTGTTTTGTCAGTTCTGGCTATTGTCTTTCCTTTCTGAGGGATCTTTCCTGTTAAGCAATATTAATAATATTATAAATATAGGGGTTTTCTTCAGTCTTGTGAAATCTTGTGACTTTATATGTCCTTGCATAGAAGAAATTATCATTACTGACTAAAAACAGGAGTCAATTTATTATTTTGTTCTAGATTCTAATCGATCGGTGCTTAAAAATTGTTATTTGAAATTTATTTAAGGTCCACAATACATAGTTTGGTTACTCTGTAAATTAAGCCGGTTCTGTGCCTGACTTAGTTGACTGCATGCGGTGAAGCCGCATGATATTTCGAAAATTGTACAGCTTTGGATTTCTTTACCTGCTGTGTCTCACACAATTCATATTGCTATAGCAACCCAAGCTTATGAGGATTATGTCTAATTCAGGCCATTCAGATTGTCTGCAATATGCCCAATGCTCTTGATATTTAGTCCCGCTGAAATGTTAATCCTTATATACTTTATAACTACACCTCTTATCAGTGACAACTTTGTGGATGTAATTCTTAATTCTTTCTCATCCTTTGTTGTCATAACAAGATTCACTGCCATTAAAATAGCAAATGTGGTGATTTTAAGATGACTTGAAGAAACAAACATTGATAGGGATATAATCTTGCCTCAAATATATCTTAAAAGGGGTAACAACAGTTTTGTGAGTCTTAAACTATTGAGAGGATCTTTACTCATTGTAGCATTAACATGCGCCAGTACGAGTTTTTATTGACATGATAACCTTCAATAAAAATATTATAGTACCATAGTATTGGCATAGAACATTAAAAAAGTCAATGTAAGGTAATAATGTGAAAAGCTTACTTTTATCAAACCTGTTAAGATGATGTCATACATTATTACAGTTATAGTAATGTAGTTTATAGCAAGGCTGCGACTGGCTGCTTAACAGACCGGATGTTTTAAAATAATGTTAACTTCATTTCAGTAATGGGTTCCACCACCAACTCGAGGTTGGATGAGGGTAGAACCAGATGGAAACACCGAGTTACTCTGCTGAAAACAGCAAGAGGATTTTGAGTCACTTCTTCACTTCTCTGTCATCTGCTTACAAGTTCTTACAGCTATAAGATGGAACATTTTTTTGTGGTTTTCGTAACTTTTTAAAACGTTGGTATTTTTTGATATTGGTAACTTAAATGCCCAATGTGTTGTGCAACATCAACTGATTCAGGTTTGATTATGAAAGTATGCTAGATTTAGAACTATAAAAGATCACGAGCAGTCCAGAGTTATTTAATAATAATGAAATAATCTTTAGAGTCGGTACTGGTAGGGTGCTATCAAGCAAACTACTGTTTATAAATTTGTTTGTGCCGTTAACCGGTGATGTTAGTCTAATTGTGATGTTACCACAAAACATTTGTCTTGCCTCCCTCTCACTCTTTTCTGTATTGCATCCCCAAATTTCTTGCTGAAAAACAATTAAAACTTGGTACAAACTTTTAAAATGCTTCTGCATTCACATCGCAAAAGACTGTTTCAAACTCAAGTGTCATGATGTTGCATTATTTTCTGCTGATGTAATATTTAGCCATATCAAGTCATGTTGTTATGACTTGTTATGACTCTAGCTGGTGGGACTGCCCAACCAGCTAAAGTCGAGCAGTCTAACTGCAGCCGATGCTCACGCCAGACACAAATAACACTGCCAAAAATACTGAAAGTCAGAGTGATGGCAGCATTGATGAGAACAAGGGGATAGTAGACATATGTTGCACCTGATATTGTCATAGCAGTGGTTGTGCAATGGGTGGTGTCATCATGCATTCATCTGATAGAGCGATTATTGCTGCTGTCCCACACTGATGGGACCTGAGCCCCTTCAGGCTGCGTGTTAATTACATTTCCAGCTGTATGTTATGTAGCAGCCGCCGCTTTAGCTTTGATATGCCCAGCCTTTCCCATTCCCCTGTGTGAGCTAACTAACTAAAGAAGCTGGCAAGCAACACTCACTGTAGTTAGAACAATAACTGATGCCTTTTTTTTTTCATTTCAAGTACGATAGACGTTTCAGTTTTTATGCTGTCGTTTGTAAGCTTTTATCTACCACTGTCATCCTTCACATGGTTTTCATAGCGCAGTCAAGGTTAACTCCATTTGAAAGAACAGACCAAGGTGAAAGAGTGAATAATTCATTATGTGCAACATGTTCAGCCCCTCTGGCTAAATGCCCATTGGTAATTGGGACAACACCGTTCCACGTCTATTTAGCTCGATCTCTCCTGTTGCTACGCTACCAGAGGAAATCTCGAGTGGGCCTGTGTAGTGCTTGGAATGACAGCCATGTGGTTTTCATACCTGACACAACCCCTTTGTATCTCCACGCTTTTTCTCTGCATAATAGTGTTGCCATTTGTTCCTAATGCGAGAGACAGAGAAACAGTTTTACACCTGCATGTCTCAACTCATTCTCCTGTCTCAGTTTTGGCTTTGTTCTTGGTGAGCTGTTCCCAGCTGGATATACATTTGGGTGTTTTTTTTGTTGTTTTTTTTTTTTTTCTTTTTGTAATTTTTAGTGTTTGCAGCAGCTCTCTATCTTATGGAAAAAAAAAGATTTGCCCTTATTATCCTGCTTGTGTTATGAGAGCTTTTTTTCCCCCTGCTGTATTTAACTAGGTCAATTAGAAGCAACTCTGAATTTCCATAGATTGTTAAATTAAAGCAGAAAATCTGCTCCAAGACAAGAACTGAAGCGAACATGTTGCATCACTGAGCACAAGTCAGGACAAGCTGCCCTCTGCAAAATGTGATTATGTTTTATTTCATTTTGATAGAGATTAGTTGTTTAATGCCATATAAGATGATACCTAAACACTTCTGTAACCACCAACTGCCCATTCACATGTTGAACTGTGTGATTTCTTTCGTTATTGTAGGAGTGAGCTCAGCCTTCCAACAAACCTCCCCCCTCTCGCTGGGCTAAGATGAGTATTACCAGTGACGAAGTGAATTTCTTGGTCTACAGATACCTCCAAGAGTCAGGTTTGTCTCACAAAAGTCTTGATTATACAGTGAGCAATTTATGCTGAAAACCTATTCATATATAGAATATTTCCATAGCAATAACCTGGAAGGTGTATATTCAGTAAAAAATGTGCAGTTAAGACAAAACACACAATCTGTTTATTGATATCTGTTTACTGAGCGTACTCTTTACGTTATATTTAATAAATGATTGAAATCCTTGCTGATGTTTAGTGTTTACAGTGACTGAGACCAAGCAGTTGTGTGCAAATATGTTCACATACTTTCAGTGAAAAAGAAATGTATGAATTCAACACAGGCCTTTCATGCCTCTTTACTTTCCTAAATTACATAACATGTAAGTTCACATTTCTGTTCAGTTAAAGTGTTTGTCCTTGAGTCTTTGTGCTGTGTTTATCTAGTGGTTTTTTTTATATTTTTATTTTTAGGTTTTACCCATTCAGCATTCACCTTTGGCATTGAGAGCCACATCAGTCAGTCGAACATCAATGGAACACTAGTGCCCCCTGCAGCCCTCATCTCCATCCTGCAGAAAGGGCTTCAGTACGTTGAGGCAGAAATTAGCATTAATGAGGTAAGTGCAGGGACCTGGAATGTAACAGGATGAAAATGTTTTTTTTATTTATTTTTATGGTTATTGGAATTCAATAAAGGTCAATATTATTATGGTTTTGTGAATATTTATTGAAAATTGCGTGCTAGCAGATGCTGCTATGTTAGAAGCAATAGTGAAAAACTTGTAGTAGTATTTCTTCCATAACTTAAGCCCCTCTTATTCTCTATCAGTTATATTTCAGGTATATTACATACCTGTGTCATTGTAAATGTATCTATGTGAGGTAACCTTTAAGACTTTCAGTGAAAAAGAAAGTGTGTTTCAAAATTTGTACTTGCATCAAATAAACAGATTTGCATACAAAGTGTGAGGAATATCACATTGTCCATCAACTACTGTATATTATATGGGCAAATATCTTAACTTCTGCCTGCAGAGCATTAAATATTGTATTGAATGTCCTTTTCTTCCTGACAGGATGGTACTGTCTTCGATGGTCGGCCGATCGAGTCCCTGTCGCTTATCGATGCAGTGATGCCCGACGTGGTGCAGACGCGGCAGCAGGCCTTCCGTGACAAGCTCGCCCAGCAACACGCCACCTGCGCTGTCTCTGCTTCAACCTCAGGAAACCAGTCTAATGCACCAAAGAACGGAGAAGCCACTGTTAATGGAGAGGAGAACGGCACTCACAACATGAGTAAGTCGAATCAAAGCATTAGGTGATTGGGTGGTTCTGAATGTACGCCAATAAAGAGGCTTTCTGAAAGCCCATAAAAGACGCAGAGCTACTAATAAAGATTAAAAATTGCATCCGCATGTTATTTAGTCATACGTTGTGTGAGGGACATTTCCCAAAAATATCCTACCTGAACTATTTAAGGGTTGCAAAATTATAATAGTGACTAATTAATGTCCTGATCAGGTGTAGTATATGACAAAAATTAATAGCTTAGCTTGTCAAAGATCACCTTAATAATAAATAGTTTCTGTTTAGTTCTTTTGTGAGGGAAACCAGATAGTTGGAGATCAGGTGGAAAAGTAGAGTAAGAAGATAATGTTTGGAAAATAATTTGCAGGTGTTGATAAGAACACAACTGTGTTGTGACTAATGTTACACTTGTGGCCACAAGAGGCTCCAGTGTCATTCATGGCTTTTAATTAGTTGTGTGAAGGATGGGATCATTTTACAACACGCAGCTTAAGAAGTTTTATTGCGGATTTTTTAAAATTTTATTCACTCAGGTCCAAAATTATACACACAAGCTCAAATACATGCATACATCACATACTTAACATTTCTTTGAAAATTCACTGTGAAACCACATGGTTCTTTTCAGCCATAAATAAACTTATAGCTTAATTTTAAAATGATATTTTATCACTGTTCTTATCAGAATTAGTCATTTAAAAGTTTCAGTTTGTCATCATCCTCTTGCGTTTAAAGCATTATCTACATTTTGTCAACGGACCTCAGGTTGGAACTGTGAGGAATCTGTTTCAGAACCCTAATTCTGGGCAATTGTGTCCAACTTTCAACCATCTAACCCAAACTGTCACAGTCACACGTTTGATATTCCAGAAAGCTTACCATAAACTTGAAGAAGTTGGAACAACTATGTCTCCTTCCATAATGAAGCCAGTTGTACCATGAATAAACGTGCGTATCAGAAGCCTGAGATTTCTGTTTTAATATCGCTCTTTATTGATCTTAATATTGGAATTTTACAAGATGCTGAAATTTGAGTTTTCAAGAACTTTGAGCCATGATTAAAATGACAACAAATAAAGGCTTGGAATAGATCACGCTGTTTTATTTATATCATGTTTTTTCAAAAATAGATTAACTTTTACTCAATGTTCTTAATTTTTTGAGATGCACCTTTTTATCTAGTGAAACTTCAAAATCTCATTGATGGCTGCATAAAGCATGTAGAAAAATGGATTCAAGTAAAGCACTAAAAGTATGTGAACTAATAATCCTGCTAGCAATGGGTGTATGTAAACTTCTGACTTAATCCTAGATGTTTGCGCTAGAGTTTTATTGAGTGTATTAGTATATAATATTCTGATTAAGGCTCCAACAGTTTATGCTGAAAAAGTCCTCATCATAAACTGTTTATTTGCTTTGTTTCTGTCAGTGTGTATGCTAAGGAAGCCATTGAGTTTAGGACATAATTATATAATCTATATTGATGAGATAATAAATGTTTGAAGTCCCTTGCTTTATATATTCTTATAACTTTAGTGATAGGACTTATAGAAATAAGTATTTTAACTCAAACTGTCCCTTTCTTGGTGCTACCTCTCTTTTTTTCAAACAAATTTAGCACAATTGAGACTTTTTCACATTGTGATGGGTCTCTTTGGAGTTTTTATGCAAATAGAGTTCTGTAGTAATAGCTATTATAGTATGTGTGTGTACCTGATAGCAATTTCTGCTCGCCTGGTATTGCCAGATAACCACAGTGAGCCCATGGAGGTGGACGGGGACGTTGAGATACCAGCCAGTAAGTCCACAGTTCTCCGAGGCCATGAGTCCGAAGTGTTCATCTGTGCCTGGAACCCTGTCAGTGACCTGCTGGCTTCAGGGTAAGCATATTTCTCCTGACATGTAACGGAGCTGGGATAGATGAGTCCACAGTGTGCATACACTGACGTGTGTTTATAAAATGCACATCTTACCATTGAATTGTCTGTGGTGTGTGTGTGTGTGGTTGTGTGTGTGTGTGTGTGTCCTGTTCAGCTCCGGCGACTCCACGGCTCGGATCTGGAACCTGAACGAGAACAACAGCTCCAGCTCCACCCAGTTGGTTCTCCGCCACTGCATCCGAGAAGGTGGCCAGGATGTCCCCAGCAACAAAGACGTCACTTCACTGGACTGGAATGTAGGTTTCAGATCAGTTATCCTTATCGTCTCTCGCTTCCCTGCCATATGCTACACAGACGAGTAACAGTTGTTTTCTGTCTGTCCAACAGAGCGAGGGGACTCTCCTGGCGACTGGCTCGTATGATGGATTTGCCAGGATATGGACGAAGGACGGTGCGTCCTCCATCACTGTCACACATTGTGTTTCTCTGGATTTTAAGTTTATTGAATCATTTTTGTGAACAATCCAGTTTCAGAAATTTTAAAGGTACCTTTTATCCTGCAGGAAATCTGGCCAGCACCTTGGGGCAACACAAAGGGCCCATATTTGCACTCAAATGGAACAAGAAGGGGAACTGTATTCTCAGTGCTGGCGTAGATAAGGTACTTTTAAAAATCCCACAGCAGTGGTTTGAGCATTTAGTAACAAGAGCCTTCCAAAATTTGTGGTTCACTTCTGTTTTATATATAATCTACTTTACAAATACTTACACAAAGTTGAGTTTAGATAATAAAACTTGATGCATTTTACGACTACGCACATTTCTAAGTTTATAAACGGACATGGTTAGTCACTCAGGTCTGAGATTCAACAATAAATCTGTGTCGAGTTGGACAATAAGCCTATTTTCTAATTCTAAAGAATTTGTTGCTGTAGATTTTTCCCCCCTAACTTTTAAATTTGATCTTTATTTTTCCAGACGACAATCATTTGGGATGCAAATACAGGAGAAGCCAAGCAGCAGTTTCCTTTTCACTCAGGTCAGTGTGCTCTCTGTGAATTCAAAACATTAAAATCTTTCCAACATAAATAATTCAAGTCCATCTGAATACAAGAGTAGATGCAAGTAACTTAACTTAAAAAAAAAAAAAGCAAAACTGAGGGGTTAGCTTCAGCATACTCAAATTAACATATTTAAAGCATTTATTTCTCTTAATTTAGAAAATTTTCTTTACAGAAATGCTATTTTATGTCAGCATAATATTTCAAGTCAATAGTCTGACTTGTCCAGCAGACAGGTTTTGACACCCTTTATTAAAAGGTTGCAGCTTAAGTAGCTTGCAGTTATCTAAGCACATCACTGGAAAGCTAAGTGGAAGGACAAAGTGAGGCTAATGAAAGAGGACACAAGCAACAAGAATAACCACAGGCTTGGGGGAGAGTGTGTAGTAAACTACCGAAATGGTTGGGAGAGATTCACAAGGTGCGGTCTGTCTTTGGAGTCAGTCCTTTAAGAATGAACCGAATCCAACTCTTAAATATATCAGTCTGAGTGTCGTGTACCTGAGTTTAATTACTGAAATAAACTAACTTTTCACCGATTTCACTCAGTTTTATAGAGATGTGCCTGTGGGCAAGATGCAAACTGTTTCATTCTGCCATAGTGTGAGATCACCAACATGCCACGCTCTAACGATTATGCTCACAATTGCTTCACAGCCCCAGCGCTGGATGTTGACTGGCAGAACAACACCACGTTTGCCTCCTGCAGCACAGACATGTGCATCCACGTGTGTCGCCTCGGCAGCGACCGGCCTCTCAAGACCTTCCAGGGTCACTCGGTGAGCAGCGTTCCCCGTGTTACTTTTCTGATCTTCTCTCCGCCTTTTCCTAATGAGCGTTGTGTTTACCAGAATGAGGTCAACGCCATTAAGTGGGATCCATCAGGTATGCTGCTTGCCTCCTGCTCAGATGACATGACCTTAAAGGTGAATCCAGTTTTCCAACTTCGCAGATGCAGGCAACAGACGTGAGAGATAATTGTATTCATATGTTGTTGCCATCACACGCAGATCTGGAGTATGAAGCAGGAGTCCTGCGTCCACGACCTCCAAGCTCACAGTAAAGAAATCTACACAATCAAGTGGAGCCCCACCGGGCCGGGCACAAATAACCCCAACTCCAACATCATGCTTGCCAGGTAACCTCAAACAACATACATACATATATTTTTTTTATTTTGTCGAAGATCAACATATTAACACAATCTACAGCTTCTGCATTGGCTTTATTAAATTGTAAGGAAAAATAAATGTCAAAAGCCAAAAATCAAGGTGTTGTCACAAGAAAAATGAAGAAACGTTTATGTTTCATTCTTTCATTCTTTCCCCCACACAGTGCGTCTTTTGACTCAACAGTGCGACTCTGGGACGTCGAGCGAGGGGCTTGCATACACACCCTGACCAAGCACCAGGAGCCTGTCTACAGCGTGGCCTTCAGCCCTGATGGAAAACACCTTGCCAGCGGCTCCTTCGATAAGTGCGTCCACATTTGGAACACCACGGTAAGTCAGATTGTGGTGAGATGGCAGCTGAAACGAGTTTTACATCAGGCTGGTTTGTTCTTATTCATGATGCTTCTGTTTCAGACTGGAGCCCTGGTCCACAGCTACAGGGGAACTGGTGGTATTTTTGAGGTGTGCTGGAACAGCACCGGAGATAAAGTTGGAGCCAGCGCATCAGACGGCTCGGTGAGCTTTGGTTTTATTTAAGGGGGCGTGTCAATACATTTCAGTGTCACTGAAGCCTTAATTTGTCAGTAATTCAATTCAAAAGTGAAACTGATACAACAATCATTACACACCAAATTTTGCATCACAAAGTTCATTTGTTAGTGCCAAAAATGAACACATTGCCTGAGTGTAATAAGGATCTTTTAAAAGATAAATGATCTGTTTCTGCCTTTTTATGATCTACACACTTCTTTGTTGAGGGGTTTGAACTGACAACTGCCTAACACACATTCACTAACACCCTCCACAAGAAGGTTAGAATCTAAAACGTAATTGCAAAAGTGGATTGCTTTATCTAAGCACAATTAATAGAAAAATAATTGAAAGAAAAGAAGTGCAAAAGAAGGTACAAAAATGTGATCAGTCATTGCTAACGCTGGAAACTTTACATTTTCTCTACCAAGCTTGTTTTCTTGCACTCGATTTCCCATGAATATACTTGGAATGTGCGGCCTCTCTGCTGGGCAGCTGACAACACTATATATAGACTACAGCATGAACCTAATAGATTTAGAGTAGTCTACTTTTCTAGAACAAAAAGTAATACTTGGGTTTTTGTTAACTGCATCTCATAATCCTGAAAACTAATTAAAAAAAACACAAATAAAACAAGATTTTCATCACTGTGTATAACAAAATATCCTTTTAGACACCCATCCAGGCTTTGGTTTGGTCTTTGCAAATAAAATATTTCTTCAACACCGCTTTCATTGTACCCCTTACTTCCCCTTTTCAGGTTTGTGTTCTCGATCTCCGAAAATAGCCCTCCTACTAGGACGACGAATCCTGGAAACTGCTGAGATTTGCCTTCTTCGGACATCAGCAAACGCACTCTCCTCGCTCAAGAAGGGCTGTACAGGTGGACTGAAAAGAACCCCTCACCGGACCTTAACCAGATGACAGCAGCAGCTCAAACACCAACTAAATTTGTTGCACCTTAATGTTTGTTGATGCGTGTTTTTTCCGATGAGCCTGAGAGAGGATGGAAACTGGCTTAGGAAGCCCTCGAAGTGGATCTGACTCCCTCCTGGGCGAATCCATTTATTAAAAGGTTTCTAATGAGGACGTGCTGGGGTCCCTGCAGGCTGGGTGGAAACACAAAGATGAGTCAAGTTTTCTACAGAAAGAAGGGAAAATGAGAGACAGGTGTTTTGGCTGGGAGAAGCAACAAAATGCGAAGGGAAGGCGTTGGGCTGATAATTCCTTTTAGGAAATATAACTATGTCCAGATAATCAAGCAGGCAAGGAAGGATGAAAGTTAACGATTATCGTCACTGCAACGCTGCCACTGTCAGGTGACGGGCTGCTTAACTTCTCTCGGAGGAGGAAGTTTCCACAAATACCTGTTGCTTGTTTGACATTATCCGCAGATGGACGTTTGAGAGTCAGATTGAATGTGCCGTTACGAGGTAGATCCTAGTTCGTTTTAACAGCAGGTCAACACGAGGAAAACTTGCCAAGTAATCATCCTGACGCCCTAAAACGGCCTGTTCTCTCGAAATGGATAATTTCATTTTGTTAAAAGAAAAAAAAAAAAGATGTGAAAATTTTGGTTTACAAAGAGAATCTTTCTCCCTTTTTGGATGTAAATTTCAAGAATGTAAAAATGTGTAAATCAGATGAAAACACAGACTTATATACTGTGTATATATGTTTATATACAGTACACTTTATCGTTCTCTACAGGGGCTCTTTATTGGCGAGAGCCGTTGCATCTTCGCTCTCAGTTTGTGACAACAAAGTGCATGTCAGCCTCTTTTACTGCAGTCTTTCTCAACACGGTCAGCTATATACAACGACTTTCCTTTTTTAATGAGGTGAAAAATGATATGGTGAGATATATTAATTATCCTAATCTGTCTTCTGCTGTTTGCTGGTTGCCTTCAGAGGGTTAACTTGTCCAAAATAAGGGAGGGAACAGTCATCCGTCTCCTTGGTTTGCTGATTCAGCTTATTTGACACCTTATTGCCAATAAATCCAACTAGCTAGAGAATCGACCTGACCTAAATGAGTTATGACGGCTTGATCAGCATCATCACAGATCCTCAGTGGCACTTTAAAGCGAATTTGGCAAAGTACTATTTGGACATTTCCATCAGTGTGTAGAGTTCATGGCGGGGGAGAAAAAGTCCTGCTGGAAACAAAAGAGCCTTTTTGTTGTTGTTATTTTAGTTTGGTCTTTTGAAATTCCTGTGACGTGGATGGCGACTCAATACCGCAGAATATTCCTCTTCTTTTTGCCTTCTTGTTATTGATCTTTCACATGGTTAGCATTTTCTGCTACATCAACATGAAGTGCACTTTTTGTGATGGTGGATTCAGCAACTGTTTGGCTTTGGTTGAAAGTGCTCCAATGTTTATTTTTTTTTCTTTCTTTCTTTTTAATGTCTTCATTGACTGGATTGTACAAGGTGTTGCAAAGCTTTCTTTGTTTCTTTTTTTTAATTATTTTCTGAGAGCCATTATTGTCTGTGTCAGACTGAGAATGGGGCTGTGTGTGTGGGGGGGGGAGTGACTATTATTGGCATGCCAAGAAGCCCAAAAAAATGGGGTGACAGCTATTTTCTCTCTCTTGTACCTTGATCAAGGGTGCTGTCACCTGTTTCCAAGACAAAACTTTGAAGTCATTCATTGTTTCAAATAAATTACTATATTTTGATATTTGACAATGTGCCTCTGTCTTTTCTGTCTTCTAACTCATGAACATTTGCAGTGCCCACAAACACAAGAACTACTTTTTTTCCCCCCTCAAATTTCTTCAAATTGTTTCTGTCAGGCCACTTGCGTAGTTTGTCCCCAGTCTGAAAATATGTATAGTATTTATACATATATTTCTTTTATTTTCATACTTTGTAGTTGGTTCTAAATAAACTTTGACCTTGGGAAATGTGTGGAAACTCAATGGAAAGGTCGAGAAGCCATCCTTCGGGTTGGTTTGGATTTGTTAAAGTAATATAATTAAATGTTCAGCTCTTCTGCAATGCAGTCTTTCACAACCACTCATAGCAAACAACAAATCTATAAGGTATTTAATAACGACATAAGATAGATTTGTGCGAAAATACATAGACTGATAGCGTAAAATACAATAGCCTTTATAAAAAACACACTGATAAGCTTAAAGAATTTGTAGTGTCTTCTTAGCTTATTGATGGGATCCATTTCACAAGATCAGTGCACCAAGCTGAAAGAATTTTCTCGTTGGAAAACAAAACAAATCTCTTCCAGCACTAAAGGTCAATCTGTAACTAGATAACAAAACAAATGTCAGTTTGTTTTGCAAGAAAAATAAAAATTGCTGGGGCTGATCAGCAAAAGAAACTATAAATACTGCTGAACGGTTAACATGTTTAGAGGTAAAAAAAAAAAAAAGGTCTTAAAAACAGAAAATGGAATCTACTGTGTCAGAGCAGCTTTCTCAAAAGAAGTTGCCATCGTAACACTTGACTAAAACTAACTTCTAAAAACTAATACGATGTAAAAGGGGAGGGAGTTGGAGTGTGGAGGAGGCCAGCTAGTGTCTCACAGAGTTCTCCAAGGACTCTCCGTCAGCGTCTACGTCCCCTTGTAGCTCGCTGGAAATGTGGATTTCAACTGTACTAGACTCTGAACCTAGCAAGACAAAATAGGGGCAGATTACTCGTTGCTGCACACACTTAAAACCTATTACACAATATAAAGTGTAGTTACAATTCAAGTATTGTTTTTTTTTTTAGTTTGTTGCCACATTGCATGTTCAGAATAAAAACCATAAGTCCTTCAGAATAATAACTTTATTTTTAAAAAGATGTCAGAGGTGCTAGTGACAAGACAAGGCGCACACACAGAACTGTAGTGTTGGAATGAAAACATCAATCTGTTCAGCAGATTCACACTTGCATACACTACACTGGAAGGTCACAAGGCACGCCTATAGCTAAAACTGATGCAGTCCAATACAACAAACTTGCCTGAATGTGGTAACTAAAGTCTCTCAACTAACAGTTTATACCACTTAAACTGTCGGATTTTACATTGTGTTCTCCACCAGAGGATTTCTTTTTTCTTTTTTAAACCGATCAAAAAGTTAACAATATAAGCTTGACAAATATTTATCACAGGATTGTTGCACTCGACCGCATTAGTTGCAGATATGGGAATTATTTCTCCTGCTTATGTGCATATTTACCATTCCCTCTGCCTCCATTTCTCTCTGCTAATCATCTGATTACCTCTAAATAATGATGCTTAACAACCCTGAATGGAAAGTCACAAAGTCACTGATTAAATTACACAATAGACAAACACGTCTCTCAGCTGTGTATCCACATACCAAATAGACCGTTAATGTTTCATCCACTTCAGATCATTATTTACAGACAATCCATAAAATCCCAGAGGAGTGTAGTTTCATGCTACAGCTGCACTATGTGGAGGTCAAAAATAGACGTTGCATAACAGAGGTCACCAACAACACTGATGTAAAAATAAAATAAATGAATTACTGCTTTTTTGTTCTGGTAAGGATCGCTAAAGTCTAACCGTTTATGTTGGCTAAGCTATGTTTGTGGTAAAAATGCATGTTGGAAAGGTGCAATGCACATGATGCTCATGTGTCATTCTGTTCATGCGCATCACCAGCCCTGATATACTGGCGAGCTGCTTGCACCACTGGCAAGCCAATTACCTTCAGAGAGGACACTGATGGCATCAGAGTGCTGCTGTCCATTTCCTATCGTGTTCTTCTGCACTTCCTGAACGTGACTCTGGTACAGCAGAGTCGTTCCCACCACCGGGTTTTGTCCGCCTGTGTTAGGCGCCGAGGTAGAGCCCGAGTCCCAGGCCAGCTCCCTGCTCCTCTGCGGGTTGAGGTCCACGTCCCAGCCAGTCCAGCCGTGGAAGGCCAGGGTGTTGAGGAAAGCCTGCATTGGGTTCAGAATGCCCTGAAACATGAAAGATGCAAGATAAATAAAAGTAATTAAATAGTCATAGGAAAGTATGAGCTATCTGCGTCTGGTATTGTTGTTCAACCAACCATGATGAACCATGTGGTGAGAGCTGCGTTCCTGATGTCTCTCAGACTGTTGTCAGTGATATCTGGTTGCATCTCCAGGTAGAAGAGGAGGCTCTCATTGATGATGTTTGGAGCCCAGCTAAAATAAAAAATAAAATAAAAAAAATTACCAACGTGAACGAAGATCCAATCTTACAAAGAGCAATAAAGCAAAAAAACAACAAAGATTACAGAACATGTTCAAATCAGCTTAACAATTTTGCATCATTTAACTCAAAATACATCAATAGGATTTTTTTTTTTTTTTTACAGCAAAAGGTATTTGTAAAAATGTGTAGTTTTGGACCGTCATTAAAGCAGGACAAAGTCCTGAAGCACAGCAAAAAACACTAAAGGCACATGATTACAAAGCAAGACTGTATCTTTGAGTCAATATAATGGTAACCGCTGAGAGAAAAACAAACTATTCATTCCAATTGGAAGAGTTGAATCTGGATGCAACTGCATAACCGGATTGGATTGAAATGAAATGAGCCGATGTCCGTTAATTCTGTACTGCTGCTGTTTTCTATTTAACCGAATTGAAGCGTCTTCAAAAGATATTTGTTGTTATTTGGTGTTATTTACATAAACTGGGCTAAGCTGGGCGGGGGTGGGGAATATCTGAAGACAATTGTACAATGTCCATTTAAAAACACAAAGGTGAAAATCTGAGTGGAGCCGCAACGGTTGGCAACTTACCAAACAAAGAACACGAGCATTATTTTAAAGAATCGGATTTTAATCTCGTTAGCCAGCCGTCTCTCATTTTCTGTATAGATTCCTTGTCGTCCTTTTAATAAAGATGTCACTGTGGAGAGATCAGAAAGTCACCTTTATTGTGTTTTCTCCTTGCAAATGCGTGTTGTGATGCACTGCCACTTGTGGGAGAGTGAATTGGTAGAGGTGAACCGACCTGCAGAGACGGTCCGGCTAAAGAACACGGGGTTAGCTATGAGGACGAGCAGCATGGGGGCATACGTGGTGATGTAGTGGGGAACAGCGTGCTGGAGGCCTTGTTCACAGCTGCACCAGGAGAGGGAACACGGTTTATTCAGCAGTGGAATAAATAATCTGCTTTGACATGTTGCATTTAATCTGACGAGCTGCTTCCAGAATACTAAAATGTTCACAGAAACACAAATTGAAGACAAAAATAGCGATTAAAAAAAAAATCTGTATGAGAAGTAAGAGGAAGTGGACAAAAACCACACATCAAATGAAATAGAAATGCAATGTGCTGTAGAAACATATATGACTCAAGGCTACACAGTCTAGTCAGTCTACATTTGATTTGTTATAAGAGGTAAAAACCATAATATTAATCCAATAAAATAATTTAATGCTTATTTCTAGTAATCCACTAACTTGTCCCCAGAAATATTACCTAAATGATGAGAGTGATTCCAAATCGGCTATTGGAAATGAAGTGATGACGAGTGGTCAAAAATATTACCCAGTTTCAAAAGAGCTGCTTAAAAAACTGAGATGTTCTTTATTTACAAGAATCTTGTTATTAGGGAAAAAATTGAATCTGAAGAGGTATGTAAGCCTAATTTCATTGAGATTCTGTCGGATTTAGATTTAAAATTATCTTATTTCATCGGGCATCTCTCAAAGATAATAAAATAAAGACAAAATATCTTTCGAAAAAATCCTGAGTTTATCCCTCAGGCAACTAAACATTTTTCAAAAAGGCTCCTTCAGAAATCCTGCATGAACGAAATTCTACACCAGTTATATTTTGGGAAGAAAAAAAAAACATTTCTGGTTTTATTTACATTTTATTGGAAAATTGCATGCCAAAATGTTTGTTTGTTTGTTTGTTTTTATGTTCCTCAATAATCAGTGGAAAAATATTTACTGACATTTCAGGAATTCACCTTTTCTGTCATTACTGAGCAGAATTGTTCATTCTTCCACTGATGATTTATCTTTTGTGATGAACATCAAAGCTTTTGACGTTGGAAGGACTTCTCGCCATCACCCTAAACTTTAGCTTCATTTTTAGATCCTATGATGTTAGCCACGAAAATCTGTTAGTTGGGATCCTCTGACCAACTGATCTGAAAGCGGAGAGGAGAAATCCAACAAAACCAGAGCCGTGAGATCTTTCCCTTCTGCTGCAGTCAAAATGTCACCGGAGTCATTTTATGCAAAGCAGTTCGGCTTGTGTGGAAAAAAAAAAAAAGATTAGAAAAAAAATCCTGGATCACTCAATCAATAACTTTATTGTTCTCCGGGATGGAAATATCATTTGATAAACGATTCTCATGGCTTTCAGCTGCAACACTGGAAGGGGATTTTGATTTATTTTGGGGGGGGAAACAGAAAAGTATCTTACTCAGAGATGGATGGGTAGTAGAGCATGGCCACTCCTTCAACACACAGCAGCACAGCCAGACCCCACGTGATCATGTGGTAGAGGACAATGGTGCTGAGGGGGAAAAGAGAGAGAAAGTCATGAGACTTGGACTCTCAGCACAAGTTGCAGATCTGTTTCTTGTGGATGGTATTTTTTTTCTCTCTCTCTCTTCTCATAGAAAAAAGAAACAAACACGCTGCTTTGACAAGAGAGAAGAGCAACATGAACGGCTATCACTGTGTCATCAAACAGCAATTCACTCAGAGGCAGGA